GTCTCTGATGACGAATCCGCGACGGATCTCGAAACGAGAAGAAGAAGGCAGTTCTAACAAGTCCCTTTTCGTCAGCTTCAATTCTGAGAAAAGGAAGACCCTGGGCGAGTCCCAGGAAGTAATTGAGAAGAAGACAACTCGATCGCTCGAACAATACATTTATTCGCTGACGTTTCGACATCCGTCGCGGATTCATCATCAGAGACATGAGAAGGAAACAGTGGCAGAAACGGGTAATGTCTCTGACTCCGCGACGGATATCAAAACGTCAGGCGAATAAACATATTGTCCCAGCGATCGCGCGACGGATGTCGAAACGTCAGGCGAATAAACGTATTGTCCCAGCGATCGAATCTTCTTCTTCTCAATTGCTTTCTGGGACTCACATGTTCGCTTATATTGGATCTCAAAACGTCGGGCGAATAAAAGTATCGTCCCAGGGATCGAGTCGTCTTCTTCTCGTTAGCTTTATTGTCTACAACTCAGATGTTAATGGTCACAAATTTATCAGCGGTGTTGATGAGACGTGCGACAGCTGCTCCAAACGCTGGTTCATTACTACTACCACTGGGAGTAGTGGTCATGCGTAATTTGCCCGTGTGACTAATGACTCGGCTCAGGAACGGACGTAACGCGGCATAGCGATAATTGCGGCGGTTCATGGACTGCAACGCGGAGAATCATGACTCAACAGCTTGCGGCTCCCCCATTGCTTGCCACCTTTGGCAAAAATCTCCGCCTCATCGAGTCCGGTATGTGTAGCCGGGTCCCGTCACATGAGCCACGACTTGGCGCCTTCACTACGTCCTCGCATGCGCGTTGGGCTCCCAGGGTTATTTTCCTGCGCCTTAGAAGTAGTTGCCTTACATAAAAATTAGACCAAATCCGCCAAGGAACGGTTGAAGTCCCTTTGAATGGTAATGGGGTTTTCGGTCTCACTACGAAGCTGTACCTGATTGTTGTCATTGGCCCATGTACAACCTCAAAGCTGAGTAGCGTTAAGTAACGCTTGACAACTGCCGACACCTTCTTGGCAGACAGGAAATCTCGCCGGTGCTGTTTGGTCTCGTTTCTCGTCCAGCGTCAACACATTCCGTAGGCTGTAAAGCCAAATTTCGGTAAGATCAAAGTTCCATCAAAAATCTCCTCAAACGAGCATTCTGCACGTCCTTTCTGAGGAACTGAAATTCAGGCATTCCAAGTGGTAAATAACTAACAGAAAAAGCGCGTAGAAGAGGAGGACGTGTGGGCTACCTCTGTGGCCATTATGTTTTCCGACTAAACAGTGACTGCTTGCTGGATAGGATTAATGCTGATTATTGGAGATATTGTCAATCAGGGGCAAGAGTGCTGTCCCATATGAACCAACCCCCTCCCCGGACTCCATCTCATGGGCACACCACACGCGCTTTTCTGTTTCCCTTCCGTAGGCTCACTTCCAGTCTAAATTTTACCCACAAAATGGGCAGTGATGACTCTAAGTTCGCAGTCAGTGGGATGTGTTTGCTTGTTCGGAGTGGCCGAGTGGTGTTAGGAGAGTCAGGTTGCAATGGCTCCTTAACATGACCTATGACAAGTTCACAGAGGTGAGATCGCTAATAAAAGCGAACATGAGATTTATGAGATCCAGGTGGGTGCCTGGCCAGGAACTGCAGGCGAACAGATGGTGACAGTCATGCGAAGAAGCGCCGCAGTCGGGACAGCAGTCGGGTGTGGACGGGTCAAGTCGATGT